TATGTTTTTTTGTACCTGGTAGAATTATCGTATTGCTAATTTCTTTTGGGAATAAAGAATGTTTTTCTTTAAATGTGTAATAATTTAAAATATTTGAATGAAACTGAGAAATAAAAATACAGCTTTTTGAAGAACGTTAATAATATTCAATACAAATAATACCGAAGAGATATAATCCAAAATTTTTTGATATGGTCACCAAGCAAACGAAGGTCAGCTATTTTGTCGCAAGTATAATGTCAAAATTTTAGACTTTGTTCAATTCAAGATCTCAAGTCTGTGTTTTTTCTCAAGTTTCATGTCAAACTTTGGGACTTTGTTTACGTTTTCATAATGAAATATATAATTCTAATGAAATTACCCATATCACTTCTGTTCATATAATATAAAAAATTATATTTTTTCTGTCTGATAATCTCAAAATACTGTCTGATAATCTCAAATCAAAAAGAAAACATTTCATTTTAATAATAATAGACTAACAGATGATGTTATTAAGTGAATCACTGTCTATTGGTATATTCTAGTTAAACATATAAATACAATAAATATATACATACATATAATATTTATGCATAGATTTTAAGAAAATAGCCAAATGTTTTATGAAAAATAAACAGATAGACTTACATACCAAATCTATACACAGTTATTCACAAACAAGTATATAAAGTATGTACGTGTTTTTGGCCCTTGGCTAGACAACAAGTCAATTACAAAATCGAAAACATCAAAACAATATACACATGACACATTTCCAAATAAAATATATCAAATATTGTTGTATTTTGACGTAAATTCCATTAGAGAAATCCCCCCTGTCGTGTCAGTAAATTACACTTCAATTACATGGAATTTTCGTTTAATGACAGACAGTATAAGAACACTTCTTTTTTGATTTATAATTTATTGCCATAACTAATTTGTTCTTTCTCTTTTTCGTTTTTTATTCCAGCTCACACTTTGGATATTACCGAAGAATCGGAAAATCGTACTATGAACGTATTTTCTCAAGTCTACAAACGTATGTTACCATTGTCAAAGAAATTAATCGAACAATTATATTCGGATATTAAAAGGTAATTATGATTAGTTATGTATGTATATTGGTAATGTTTTTTCCACTTGAACTAATTACATATATGCGGAAAATAAGAATAATAGGGTCATTATTTTAATTTTGGGGTCTACATAAATCAACATATAGTTCTAGAGCAAGAAAAATTTATGATGATTAACGTAAATCCCCTATTTTTTGGAACAATATTTTTTGCTTAAAAAATAACATTAATCAATAAGATAAACATGTATAGACTAAAATCACGATTGGTCTATGTCTTCTAAATCGATTCGATTTAGGAACTTCATCCTGTCTAAACTAGTATTAAAAAATTTATAACATTTACTCAGTACAAACTTACATAAACTTATATGAATGAGATCGAAAAAGATAAAAATTGCAATAACTAAACGAGCAACATCCAACAAGCGAAAATCAGCTGTTTTTTCGCAAGTCTAATATCAAAAATTTTGTTTTTGTTTACGTTTTCATAATGAAAGTCAGTTCGCAATAATGGATTTTGACAGCAAATTTAAGTGACAGCTGATATCCAGCTGGTCTCCCTAGACGACCTTACTTATAGGCCTTGGTTGTAACCAAGATAAATTAATAAAATCACCCAACAAACGAAAGTCAGGTGTCTTTTCTCGAGTACATATAATGTGGACGTTGTTTACGTTTGGCTTCCATCAATTCAGAATAATGGAATGACCCATGGATGACCCTATTAATAGGCTATAGTTCTAACCAAGATCTATTAATAAGGTCACAAGGCAAGCGAAAGTCAGCTGTTTTTTTCTCAAGTTTAATATCAAAAGTTTGGTTTTTGTTTAAGATTTCACAATAAAAGTCAATTCACAATAATTCACAATTCACAATTGTGTAAACCTTGCTCAAGGTTTACACAAGCAATTTTGTAAGATTGTCTCTCCCCTTGTCACTTTTCATACCTCCCTCTCCTGTTTTTACAAAACAGCTGATTAATTATCAGCTAATGTTACTGTAAATCTTTAGTGGGTAAATTTTCCTTGTAAGAATTTGCATATACTCAGTAATAAAACTGTCAAATTTTCTCTCTGAATCAATCTCTTTTATCGGACGAACAAAATTCGGTAACAATTTGTGCATATTATTGAGTAAACGAACTCTCCTAAATTGGTATAAAGTTTTCAGTCAGCTGATATTTGAAAATGTGTTTGTGGTATTAGAATATCACACATTTCTACGAAAATCCTTGCCTAGCTACTTTATATAATAGTCACCAAAATAAAGTCTTAAACTTATTATTTATAAAAGATATTATTAAAATTGAATATCATTTTCTCTTAAATTATATCGCAGTCATGCACCATTTCCAGTACACTACCGATTAAATTCACACTTTATCCCTTACAACCGACCATTTACTTCCATATCAATAATTCGAAACCTTACTGATAAATCGATTAAAATTAACATTCTTTAATTTCTCTCTCCCTTTCATTACCACTTTTTTGCAGTACCATAAAGTCGACCGAGTCCACAACCAGCGTCAACACATTGGAACACACCATACATCAGTTCTTTGTCAATTTATTTCCCGTTGCCTACCATCAAGTCGTCCATTTGAACAAGGAACGATATGGTGAATTGCATGAGGATTACATTAATTGCTTGAAACACACTTGCCGATGTTCTGGGCGAAACCGATGAATTGTATGGGGCCCATTTGACGGAAAGCTGCCAAAAGCATCTGCTACGAATGAGTTATTGTCCACGCTGTAATGGTCTGCAAAAGACGCATGTGAAAACATGTCACGGTTACTGTGTAAATGTATTAAGGTAGGTTGTTTGTTCCATTGAGCCTAATGGGCCAGGCGCTCATCATCATCAGCATCTGCTGTACGACAAAGTGAACAATTCATTGTATTTAATGAAATTTCCACTCAAGTGTTCACTTTTTTTTGTGTGGATTTTTTGTTTTGTATTTCATCATTTTTCTACCATTCATTCATTCATTTTTGCATTTTCCTTTTTTTCAATCACAGAGGTTGTTCGGCTCAATATGCTGGTGCTTTGGATAGCCATTGGTCTAGTGTTGCGGCTGGTTTGGAAAATTTAATGAATGTCCATATGAGTGCTGATGTTGGCATTGTTGCAGCAATTAAACAATTAAATGTTAAATTATCTGATTCAATAATGAATGCCATGAGAAATGGTCCCGAATTGGAAAATACGGTAAGTTGAATTTAAAAAAAGAGAAAAGAAGAACATTTACACAAATTAGTTTAAATTTTATATTCTGAAATCTATAGGGAGACCCCAAAGTAACAACATTTCCCTGTTTATAAATGTAAGACAGATTTAAAATTCAATGATTCCGACGTTCTAGACCACCTTTTCAATGTTACTCTCGAGATGCACTTAATTGATCGATATCATCGTTTGAGCTGAATACTTTCCCACCGAACTATTTTTGGTTTGGGTATAGTCATCCGAAGAATAGAACTGATGAGGTACAAAATTCATGAAATTTTGTAACAGAGACAAAACTCGAGTACCAAGATTTAATAATAAGGGCACCCAGCAAGCGAAAGTCAGCTGTTCTTTCTCAAGTCTAAAGTAAAAAATTTGGAATAATAGTGGATTTTGACAGCAAACTTAAGGAACAAGTGATCTCCCTGGATGACATTATTGTTTTATTAATTTTTTTTAATGCTTCAAAATTTTCTTTGGTTTTATACATTTCTCCACAAAAATGTTTAAATAGCGCTTAAAAAATGAGGAGATTGAGTGCTTTTATAAAGCTGTTTAACACAAACTACATATATCACAGAACTCTCTCATTATTATCCAAGAAGTTAGAAAGTCACGGAATTATTGATATAATTCTACCCTTTCTCACACCTTCATTGAATTATAGCGCTTCTAAAATATAGCTTTAATTTTTTCAAAAACCAACTTCTTAACATTTCTTCAGTTCTCTTCTAATTTGTTCTCGTATGTTAGTTCTGTTTAAATAATTTTAAATGTTCTTTAAAACTTGTAAGACTATCGTAACTAGTAGCATGTGCATTTATTTACCACGACAACAACAAGTAAAGTGTTTTAGTAATGAAAGTGCCGACATGGCTTAAATTATCAAGTAGGCAATGAATTAGTTAAAGTATAACATGACATTACGGTTAGGATACCTGCTGCAAGGATAATTACATACGAACTAGAACGACATGCATGTGCCTACATACACATACAGGCAGGTGCACATTTGTAATACTATGTAGAAACATACTAAGGTATGTCGAAAGTTAATTATTCTTTAAAAGAAAAATGTTTATCTCTTTAATCTTTAAAAGAAAAATCTCGCTTAAACAAAAGATATTATACATCGAGTCTTCAATTTGGTCAAATCTAAAAGTTCGATATGAAAAAATTTGCATACACGTTTTTAGTATATAAATATCACTAGTGACCTTCATTCTAACATCACTCATTTAATTAGCTGGTGAGTCATTTACTCATCATTCAAAATTTTTAATATAGATTTAAGTTTAATCGTATGATAATAGCTTCTAATCTTAATTATTATTTCATTTAAATAAAATTGTGTTTGTTTCTCTTTTTTTTCTAGGTTAAAAAAACTTGTGGTACACCAAAATTGTTACCCTCCAAAGATACCGATAATGAAATTAAAACACCTCTATCTCATTATACGAAAAAGATAAATCCAGTTGAACCTGAACTATTGCAATTCTCATCGACCATTGATAAATCCAAAGAGTTCTATTCAAACATAGTCAATAAGTAAGTATCTGGGCTGGCGTCATCCGTTCGTAAATAAATTTTGTGTAGCCCAAACTGGAATTTATAAACTAGAATAGAGAAACATATTATTTGTTATGGTTATCAAATAAGTAAATATCACGAAACTCTTGAAAATCTCTTAAAATATGTTATATCGAATTCCGCATATCAATTTATTGTCATAACTTCTACATCACATGACAACGTTTATCGTTTAATTTTGGCAATTTTATAATTATAACATCCAATTTTTACTAAAATATCTCTTATAATGCAAATGTATATTGGCATAAGAATTGCTCCGCCAAAGAATATTAAATTCGCAATGCAATCACGGCAACTGAGACACTGATGGCATGGCTGAAAAAAAGTATAGGATTTTTACCACAACGAGATTTTGATTTTTTAAAGGAATATACATCACAGCTCTTGGAATAATTTCCTATATCGCCCACAATGATATTGTGTATGAAATCTTTAATATTTACAACAATTTCGGTTAACATAATTTCAAAATTTGTATCAATTTTTAAAATATAACAGCCTGTTTTTGTAAAATTCCAAACGAACGAATTCGAGTGACTTACGACCAAACCTTTATTTATGTTTATAAAGGTTTTTTGATTCAAAACAAAAATACATGACATATTTTTCAAAACCAAGGAGTTTGGTCGTAAGTCACTCGAATTCGTTCGTTTGGAATTTTACAAAAACAGGCTGTAAATATTTTGTTATTTTTACAATGTTTGAAAACGTCTATGTCAAATAAATCCTCATAAAGTAGATTCGCCCCGTAAAAAGTTCTATTGTACGTGGCTTTTTAGTCTAGATTTACATTAGAAAATTTTAATAAGTCCTGATTTATATTAGGCGAGTTTACTTGCGGCAATTTTTATCGTTCTCTTTTGAACTTGCTCCATGCGTCTATACAAGGCAATTCGGTTTCCAAAATATTTTTTTATTTGTTGTTTTTTCACATTTAAATATATATAAAATGTCAACAAATACGAAATACACAAAACGAATTGCCAGAAAATTGTCGGTACGAGCAATTTTTTTTTTCATTTCTATACCCCTTGCCCCTCTCTCCTACAAACAAAGACTTGCCGCAAGTAAACTCGCCTAATCTAAATCAAGACTAACATTAGACAATTTTTTTAAAATTTACGCAAGTAAAATTGCGTTATGTAATCAAAACTAAACATGGTTCTGAATTTCATCGCAAAAATTTCTTCCATTGCAATTTCAGTTTGCGGCAATTTTCAGTCAGCGCCTTCTCCACCAATTAACTATAGAAGTGTGACTATTAATATTGTCTTGTTTAAACCAAGTGTTATATTCCTTCATTAGTTTTGTTTTAGGAAAAGTTTCATATGACAAAAAACTGAGTCAACGGGAAAGGAGGAATATCATTTGCGAAAGAAGGAGTAGAATGCCGAATAATAACTCTTTGTTTCAATAAACCGTTATTTGACTCACAAATATCATTTGCAATTTTTATATTATTCGATTACTAAAATATTTATTAATAATTATTTTTTTATTTTTCAGCGTTTGCGATGATGAAGAATTTCAAAGAAACGATCGTCACTGCTGGATCGGAGATCGTGTTAGTGATTACGATCAAATAATCATAAATACTCCTGGCACCGATACACAACGCTACAATCCTGAAGTACCTTATGAGCCAACATCTAGGCCAACTAAATTACATGAATTGCTCGATAAGTTGTTGAAAATACGCAAAAATCTGGAAACAGCGGTAAGTTGGACATTCAACCATTTAATACATCTTTTTAAAACGCATTTAGAATGTTGGGATCTAAAACGGAATTTTCATTATAACTTTTTCCTTACATATATGTATGTTAAATCAATGCCTCATAGAGGATAATAACCCGACAAATCCTAATGTAAATGCCGTTGAACACGTTTATAGAAATGTTTATAGAAATAATTCCAAAAAATTAATTTTTAATACGCATTCTTCTTTATATTTTAGGTACCATCCCCACCCAGAACAATCAACGATATTCAAAGTGATATGGCTGGTCGTGATGAAGAAGGATCTGGCCGCATAACCGATGATGTCGATGATGAGGAATACCGGATACAAGGATCTGGTGATGGTTCTGGAGATGGTAAGTACCCGCCACACATTACCTATATAACATTGCCATAAAATAACATGTTTTGTTTCCCTTTTTTCAGGTGCCACATCATTCCCAGTTGATCCTCGTTCAGATAATAATGAAGATAATGAAATTACACCACATGAAAAATCAAATTCACCGGCCAGTGCAGTAACCGCGTCGATGAGTTTAGCATCTTTAACTTGTCTACTACTAGTCACACACCATACATTATTAGCAACGATACGATTTTATAAACTTAATTTAAATTAAATAAAACAACCAAGCAACAAACACACACACGTTATTAATACTGATGATGATGCTGCTGCTGTAACATGCAACACAACAAAACAACAACCACAACAAATCCAAGGGTGCAACTCTGTTTTATAAATTATGTAGTTATTATATAATATAAATAAATCTATAAATGTATGTACGAATACGAGAATGATGCGAATGTGAAAATTCATAATAAAACAAATTTAAATAAAATAATAAAACAACAAACTGAAAAAAATTAACAATTCTATACAGGATAGCATACTACTATACTAACGATAACAAAAATCCTTATTAAATACATATGGATACAAAGTTGCTCTTAATGCTCCTAGAGTAAAAAATAAACTAAAAAACCAACAACAACAATGAATGTAACAAGAGATAATTTCTTCAAAAAGAAAATATCTCAAGCTAAAAAGTGAAGTGCAAAAACTAAATTCTCGAAGAAGAAAAACCGCCAAACTAAAAAATCGAGAGGTATTAGAAAAGAATATTAAGCGAATAAACCACACATGAACACTTGGTGTAGATTAGGAATTCAGCGGGCTTTCCAGTTGTAATTGATGAAAGTCGTTATAATTATTTAAGCAACTACTTCAAAGTGCATAACCTAACTTAATATGGTGGCGTATCAAATTACTGATTTAGAGGACCCTTTAATATTATTATTCTGCCGTGCCCACAATTATCATAAACTTCTCACAGTTATAAACTTTTAGCGAATTTCATATATATATATATATATGAAAATTCAATAATGAGGTATTCATAATTAATGATTTTAGATTTGTTATCCAACACAAATTTCCAAACAAAAGATAAACAAACGTTTCTTACAACTTATCGGATTTGTCAATAATTTTACTCTCAAACCTTAACTGAATTCCCAGAAATCCTAACACCTGTTCTAATGTGGTTTTTCAAATTAAAAAAAAAAAAAAAAAAAAAAAAAAATAAAAATTTTTTTTTTAAAAAAAAAAAAAAACTTTTATTTTTTTTTTTTTTTTTTTTTTTTTTTTTTGGCTAACGTCTTCTAATTAATGTGACAGTTGTAGTGGTTATAGGCAAACAAAAGATTAATAGATGTGATGGTGTCTATATTTCAGAAAATTTAACCTGAATTCACAATGTATTCCAGAAATACAAGCTTTTTGCTATTTTTTGCTTTGGAGATTGTTTTCTTAACTATATAGAGTGCCATAAACCATTTACATTTCAAGTTGGACAGATTTATAGACACATTTTTTGTAAGACAGTAAATGCTCAATTATAAACAAATACACAAACATCATCTGTCATTGTAAAAATTTAAAAAAAAAAAATTAAATCCAGTAAATATTGTTCCTTTTTTAAAGAAAAAATTAAAACAATACCGAACTCAAATAATAACAACTACATAATAATTGAAAGGGATTTTTGTATTTTCTTTCTTAAAGCACAAATAACAATCAATCTATTCATTGTTTATGTGAAATAGAGCAAACCTATCATGGCAAATATTTCCATTACATAGTAAAATGAATTTTGCCACAAATTTCAAGGTCAGTATAACAGTTTATGTTAGCTACAACCACTTTCAAAAGAAACCATAGGCCCACATTAAAAATATGATGAAAAATCGTAAAAAAAGATTTATTATTATTATTATTTCAAATAATATAGGGACCCATGTCCAATATCTTGCAGAAATTAAACACACATAAAAATAAAATTAAAATGTATAGATGAAAAAGTTAAAAAACAAAACAAATGAATACCAATAAAATATAATTGATGTACGTAATTAAAGAACTGAAGTTTACTATTAGTAATTTAATAAATAATAATAATATAAAACAAAAACCGAAAATATGTGGAAACATTTATTGAAGACTTACAGCTTTACATCCATCTCATTGAATAAAATGGCAAACAATTCCCTTAATTGGCAAATAACCAAATAATTTGTACATTAAATCTAAACACAACAACATAGGGATGCTCAAATGAAAAAAGTACTTTCCAAGATGGTTTAATTCTTAAAAAATGCAATTTTTTCAAAACTTGACTATTAAGAATTTGTATTTATGCCTAGTACACTTTTGAAAGATATATACTTTGAATATGTCGAATAAAATTTATTCAATAACAGATGTTTATATTGATAACGGCTAATATTCTAAAATATATTACAAAGTTAAACTGTAAAACTGTTATAAACAATAAAGATACGGAGCAATGTATGACACTTTCATCTATTAGGTGCAATTCAATAATAGTTTTTCTCATGTTTATCTTATTTATTGGTCAATAATTGTATATTTTTTATTTTGCCAATGCTTTCAAAAGATTCAGATTTAAATAGGGATTATATTTAAGAATTGAACTCAATTTTTGTACAATCAGAGAAAAAAGTGTTTTATTGCGCCAATTAATTTTTAAAATATTAAAAATGAAAAGTATTTGCTAAATTTGTAAAGTTCATGCTCTATAACAACAACCATTAGATCTGGATCCATTTCAAGAATAAGAAATATTCACATATTCACATATTGTATCATTTTTATCAAAGCTCAATATTTTCTCAAATTCGGCCGAAACGTAGTGAAAGTCAAATAGCATGTTTACATTTTGATATATTTTTGAGAATGAAGAACTCAAATCTTTGATGGATTACAATTCCAAGTTGAGCTCTAAACCCCCTTTCTATATGAATAAAAAATTCAAACACAAAACAACCACAACAAATATAAGTAATATAAATACATATGTATTTGGAAATAAAGAAAATATATGTGTAAAATGTTTAAATGTAAATTATATATTTATACACAAAAAATAATAATAATAAATAAACAACAACACAAACATTAACGTAATTAATCTAGAAGTGTGAGGTATTTAGGTTACGTAATGTTTTATCAGGTGTGTGGCCATCCTTAACATGAACCCATGCAGGTAAAACATTACGTCTTGATTACCTTACATACTAAAAAATTAAAACTACTAATAAATAAAAACAAATTATTATTATTAAAATTAATATTACTATTAGTAAAACAAAATAAATCTTAGTTAGTAGCAAATTAATACAAAAATAAACGTAAAGAAAAATTATGGATACAAATATTGCACAATAAAGAAAGGTGACAAAGAAATACAATTGTTTTCTTCAACAAAAACAAATTAAAAATATATAGGCTTGTGTCTATGGCCTCGTTTTGTATCATCTATTAAGCAATCGATTTACTGTTAGGAGTTTTAGTTTTTTGTTGAAGTTTAATTTTTTTAATATTATTTAAAATCAAGAAATACAGGGTGACACTTTAACTAAATTTTTTCAATATATGTCTATTTGTTTCGATACGAAACGAAGGCCTCGCATTAAAACTGGCCAGAATGTAGAAAAGTCGAAATTAAAGCGAAAAACAAACAAAAAAACTTTATTTTTATTATTTAATAATGATATATATGTTAAACCTCTTTATAGTTTTAAAATTAATTAAAAAACAAACAACAACAAAATAAACCAGTAAAAAGCAAAAATATTTAATTAAAACAAACAAAAATAAAAAACAAACAAATTTTTGCATGTGATTAATAATAATTAAGTTAAATCTTATAATAAATATTTTTATTATAATTACAATTGATATACATATGTATGTATGAATAAATGAATAAAATATTATTATTTGGTTAAACATATTTTGAGTTTGTGTCAATTTGTGACTTGGGGAAGAATTTTGACATTGTTGTAAGACAGTTATGAATGATCTAATTAGTATAAAATCAATGGTCTGGAATCAAAACTATTTGTATATAGGTTTCCAAAGTGATATCCACAATATAAACTAACGTGCATGATGTAACTAGTAAGACTACCAGACGCTAAGTCCTAAGCTAATTATTTTTTTGGGATCTTTATATAAGGAACATAGCTAAGAAGTAGACCTATGTCGACTATGTTTTTCAAGGATATTTTGCAACCCACAGGCCACAAAGAATAGTAAATTACATTCACTTTTGAAGGCAATTTTTGTAATATAAAAAAAATTGGGGATACCTGCAAACATGGAACCCAAAATATCAAATTACAGCCAATTCGGTTGCAAAACGTGTCCATGAACCATAAAATTACCAACATTTAATAATGTTATCCAATTAGAACCTAAAACACTGCCACATGCAAGGTAGATATATAAGGTAGCCGCATCGGCGAATTGGGAACATGATATGTCAAAATTGTTATCGAGGCGAATAAATATGAATTCGCCTTCTATTTTTCCACCAATCAGAACAAAGCATTATTGAAGTTTTATAAAATATTTATTTACCTTATTTAAATTTGTGTGCTTTTATGCAAATTGTAAATTTATGAATTAACCAGTAAGGAAAGTAGTAAAGACGGACGGGGCCGACTTTATGATACCCTTCACCACTTTGAGTATATTCAACAGATGAATCCTAACAGACGTCGAATTTTTAACGGATCAGTAAAATGAATTTGGAACCATAAACACGTCATTCTGCAACCGATACTAAATTGTTCATTTGGTCAGATATAGAAGCTATATCTAAATCAGAACCGATTTCAGGAAACTTAGCACACATCTAGACCCAATTCATTACGCTGAGCCAAATTTAGTGCAAATCGAGAGATATATAGGGACTTTTGTGCACACTTTACCTTAAATCGGACGAAAATATATATAAGATATATAACTAAATCTGAACCGATTTTCAGGAAACTTAACACACATCATTCTAGAGATAATTCATTACGCTGTGCCAAATTTCGTGCAAATCGAAAGATATATAGGGACTTTGGTGCACAATTTACATTTAATCGGACGAAAATATATATGGGAGCTATATATAAATCTGAACCAATTTTCAGGAAACTTAACACACATCATTCTAGGCCTAATTTGTTACGCTGTGCCAAATTTCGTGCTTAAATCGCATATGCATATTCTCAAAAGTGTGTATGTCGTTTCCTTTTGCCTGTTACAAACATATGCATAAGACATAAT